TAAATAACGTAATATACAAAGCTTTATAATTATTGCACATTTGTAAAATATCTTACAGTTAAGTTCATACATCCAGCAATATTTAAAGCACGAAGACTTTATTTACAGTTTTATTTCAATATAATAACCAGATCCAATGGACCTAACATATGATGAATTTGTGTTAATTTTACCAACCAGCGTTCTCATCAATCATATATATTTTTTGGGGGAAATGTAAACATTATTGCCTAAAGTACCTTATATACATCTGTTAGCTGATCGTAACAAAGGACTTTAACAATCTAAATAGGTAAAGCTGATAAAGGGTACCATATTTTGGTTTATTTTATTTAGCCTTAAATTATATATTAATATTTTTAAAAATGTAAACTCAGTGAATAAGAGCTGGTATAATCAATATTTTACATAAGTAGTCTCATGTTTTTAAAAACAAAAACTTAAGCTTTAGATCATTGCCATTTCATTGGGGAGTTCTCTAATATTTTATGGTAATATTTTAATAGATCCCAGGAATTTTGAAATACTGTTTCCCCTTTATATATTTTCCATTTGATGGAAATAATTTCTCCTGGAAAACTAATTCTTTCAAAAGTTTACTGAAAGCCTATATTTAGGAAATGATATTTTAAAATCCAGTGTCTTTAAAATAACAATAATATGTCAGGACACAAATTTGAAATAAACCACAGAAAACAGTGCCAATGTGTATGTATACATGAATATGTGTGTATCTCTTACATATGTATTTGTTTAAGAGCACGGATATATATATGCATATACATACATATACATATATATACACATACACAAACACATGTAGGTAGCCTACCTACATTTTAATACACATACACACACATACCCACTTCGCTGGGCCTAAACATGCACTAGCAAGTTATTTTAGGGCTTCAACTCTTCAGAAAATCTCATTATGTGAGGAGCGAAGTGGCTCTGCGGGGAACATTATGGAAATATCTGGGCTTGATTTAATGAGGCTGTTCACATTGGTGGAATATCAACTTAACAGAGAAAAGTCTACCCAGGGCGTCCAAGTTACCAAAATGAAATTGGCAATTGAGATGATAAGAACGTGGCTTTCTTCTGCGAAATCACTTCAGGTAACAGAGATAACATTAAATAACATACATTCTATGCACCAAGAACAATGTTTTATGTACCGAGTCTCTTATCCGTCTCTCCTAATGACTTCCCTTAGCGGGTTGTTAGTACTTGACAGCAGGTCTCCGTGCGGGGAACTTTTCTCCAATTCCACATTCAAAGGAGGTCCATCAGAGAGCATGATTGGCAATTTTCGTCATAATCTGCACATTATTAGCATCAAAATTGACGTGGCAGTTAACACTGGTGGGTTTTGATGTACCTTTCTTCAAGTTCAAGTAAACCCCTCCAGTAGCCAGGTTGGCAGAGCGGGTCTCAGCAACCCAGCGGTGGCTTTGCAGAGGCGAAGGCGCAATAGACATGCGTGAGAAATATGCCAAGAACCATTTCACCCGAGGAAAAGCAAAGCGAGGAGGGAAGGGGACGAGGGGCATAGAGAGTTCTAACTTAGAAAAGTGTCTAAGGAAATGCTTTAGGATAACACTAATATATCTAGAGATTCAAGTATTTCCCAGATCGAGTGGAACCCGGTAGTTGGAAAACTGAGCTGAAAAAGCCTCTTCAAATACTACAGCGATCTATCAATCTTGCCCCCACCCCCAACCCCTTCTTTTCCCTTCCCTGGCCTGGCTGTGGCATCCTCTTTTGCCATCACTTTTTGCATAAAATATGCAAGATGCTTCCATTCCATCAGCACTGAAACCAAAGACCAAAAGAGAACGGTGTTGGACCGAGAAGGAGGCGGCGCAACGGCCACCCCTTCCAGCACCTCGGGTTTGTCCTTCCCGGGGAAGGCGGCCACAGCTCTACCCGCCTTGCTCCTGAACGCAGTAAACAATCTCACAAACACAACCGCCGCTGCCCAGGCTCTCCATCCGCCCTCCCGGCCTTCTCAGACCTCCGTTCTCCCGCTCTCTTCGGGCAGGGTCCCTAACAAGCTCAGGCTGAAGAAACATTTGCCACCTCCCCCACCCTCGTTGAAAGAAAAGGAAGGATGGAAGAAAAAGGGCTGCAGCGAGAAACCTCCGGGGCGACTCCTCCCCCGCCCCCAAGCACCAGCGCACAGCATCCCCCTCTGTCTTTGTTGTGGTTCTCCGCTGCTTCGGGCCACGCGGTTCAGCCAAGCAACCCGGGCCTGAGAGCGCACAGCCAGAACTAGCTTAGGGGGCGACGGGTTTGTCTTTGGGGAACCACGCGCTCAGGACAGAGGTGGCAAGTGGGTCCTGGGAGCCAGAAAACAGAGAAGGGCAAACGGCTGGGTGGCAAATACAAAAATAGAAATAATTTAGGGGGATGCCTGCCAGGCTTCTGCGCCTGCTCTTTCTCCCCCAATTCGGGGCAGGTTCCCTTCGGCCTCCCGCACCCCGGGGCGCCCCCTGGC